TCCCTACAAACGGATCCACTATTCCTTGTAATACTTTCCCCATTCTTTTGTATTTTCAGTACTATTTTTGTTATATTAGTCTACTATAGTGTGGCCAAGGTTTTTAATGCCACAGAGCAATTTGGTTGCCCCATTCCCTTTACATTTTTCTGTAGAATGTATTTTTGTATTTTTTCTCAACAACAAATATTTTCTAATCAACTAGCAATTTTTACTTTCTTCACTGAATTTTGGTGGAAGAATGTAACTTTTTGGCAAACTTGACACAAATAAGTGTCAGCTTACTCTCACTTTTGTCTCACATTGCTATGCTTTGCTACATTGAAAACTTTTCATATAAATGCCATTCATGGACTCTTTCCTCTGGTATACAAAGAGCACTGGAAGATACACCCCAGTATCTGAAACTGTAGGAATTACTGTACTATTTGAGAAGCAGTGTATGACTAGACTCTGAAGAATTTATTATTATATCAACACACAAAGGGGGCAGAGTTGCAGTTGTGAATACACATTACCTGTGGTATTCCCTGACTGAAAAGCACTCAACTGTGTAATCATAACATTCTCCTAATATGTTTTTTGGGGGGGAGGGAGGTGTTAATAACATTTCTTAGGATTTGGTTCTTTTTCCTCTTTCTCTCTCTTTTTTTTCAGTTGAAGGATGGAAAAAAGGAGTTTCACTGGCCAGAGCTTTGAAGTAGCCCTTGCTCACACAGAAGGCAATAGCACAAGTTCAGTCAGTAGCTGGAAACATATCTGACTGGATCCTACCAGAATGCCCTGACCTGCCTGGCAATTCAGCAGATTTGCTGGAGGGACAATTTGGGAAGTCTTGGGGAAAAATGCTTCTGCAAGTCCTGCATTATCTCCATGGGGTTTCAAAAAGGAGCTTCCTCATATGCATAACCAGGTAGGCAGCACCCATTCCCTAAACCCCACATACGCTGTGACTGGAGAAGACTGGTATAAGCCCCAGCCCAACAAAGCATTTAAACTCCTGGCTAATCTTAAACAGCAGTCGTCCAACCTCAACTGGACCACTCTGTGTCAGAAGAAGCCCACATGCTAATACATTGCTGGATCACAATGAAGAAGGTGTTTATTTTTAAACCTGTTCCCCTGTCATGCCCCCCCCCCCCCCCAAAAAAAAAAACCCCAAACAAATGAACCATTTCTGTTCAGGTTTTATAAATGTGTTTGGGAAAGACCAGGCCTGGAAACTTTCTGTTTGAAAAAGAAGTTTTAGGTTTTAAGTGTCTACAAATAAGGATTTAGGAGGGGGAAATCTCTTGCAATCTAAAATCTGCCCAGTGTTCTTTTACTAAATACAAAATTATCCAGTTTCATACCTGTAATATAAATACATAAATACTTTAAACATAGATGGTCACAAGTACAAACAGCAGTAAGTTGCTTAATTCCACTGGGGAATTATGTGCCTAACTTTTATTGTTGCCTTTGAAAGCTATTTCACTATATGCCTAGAATAACAATATATTAACTGACTATATCTATCATCAATTAGGTTTTGTCCCCTTCCCCTTCCTCCTCCTTGCAAGCTCATCTGTCTTCACTTATTCTGGGAGGGGTACGTTGCAGCCCTCTCCTCCCAACGAGTGAGACTCAAGTCTGCAATATATATTTCCCCTGCCCCACATTTACATCAGAGCTCTGCTCATTGATGCAAACAAATCACTCATTCAAACCCACCTTAAAATAAATGTTTTTACATTTCAATGGGCTAGGGTACTACATGCATCCAAATCAAAAATGGCACTTTAACCCTGGAAAAACTGTCCTTATCTTCCACACCCATAGTCAAATGAGAACAGGAGTCACAAGCCCACTGAAGTCAGGAAGAGGCTGTCTATGGATGTGTGTGTGTACAACTGCATAACGGAGTGTGTGTATGCATGTATGTGATAGGCTCACTGGACTAGACTTTCACAAATTTGAACCCTCCCAAATTTGAAGATGTTCAGAACCAAAGATTTGATTTGTTCGTTGGAACCCAGAGAGCCTGCGCAAGGAGTTAGGAGCTTCTTCCAACATCTTCTAAAGTTTAGGCACCTGGATCTTGGTTCAAGTCTAGTATGTATGTATATGTGTATGTGATCATGTGTATGCATGCATATGGAAGAGGAGAGGGGAGAAGCTGGGATTCTTCTCCAGTTGATATCTTGAATTCCTGACATCAGTCCCTCCTAGTATTATCTCAAATATTCCCACATCACTTATGCCACAGAATTTGCAAATAATTAGAAACTGCATTTCTCATAGTCTCTTTCTGTCTGAAAAGCCATTCTTAAACAGCTCTGTGCTCATTACCATGAGTCTCCATTTTAAACTTCCAAACACCTCTTTTCTTCCATTTCCTGAGCTTCCAAGAAACATATCTCAGGATCACTGGAAGGGAAACCCTCCCCATGATCTTTTTCCTCCTCGCAGCTAGGCAAAAATGTTGTTTCCTAGGTTGATCTCTATCATCTCCACTTTGCTCAGGTAACTGTAAAAATATCAGGTCCATTCTTGATTTAACTGATTCCTTTTCCGGCAAGTGTGCAAAGCTTTCAAGTATATACAAATATCATCAAATAAATAGGGAAGCCAGGATTCCTTTGACTATGAACCAAGCATCAATAACTTTCTATGCTCTCACCTTCATTCTTCTTGACAGTATCACGGACCCTCTCCCAAGTCCGATAGATCCATCTTGGAGAGTGGGCCCCAAAGAGATGAACATGGCAGATATTGAATAAAGACTATTTGCATATTGACTTGTTTGCACTAGCCAGGAGAACCCTCTCACTCAGACATAGCACAGGCCTGAGACCCCAGTTTCAGGCTTCTTGTACATGTATAGCCTAATGAATACAATCCTGTGTTTGTGCTAGTGGTGGGTTCAGATTTGTAGTTTGTCAGAAAGGGGTCTTTCTTTGCATGTTAATATTTAATCCTTTTTCTGTCAGTGCAGTAATTGGGTGGAGACAGCAAGACAAGGCCCAGTGATAAATGATGAAGAGTGGCCTGGCCACTGGCATTCAGATAAATATTATTAGGACTAAGCAGACGTAATGCTGTGACCAAATATATGTTCCTTTCTTCCTTCTCTTCCAGCTTCAAGATGGTATTGTTGTCTTTATCGTAAACTGTGAGGGTCAGGAAGGCATTATGATAGAAACTGAGCCCTCCTTGCAGGAACACCAGATACAAGCCATCACATTCAACCTGGATTCTGCCATTTGTGACATTCCAGTCGCCACTCCAGTAAGTAACATCGACAGTCGCGTCACTGCCATTGACCTTAACTGGAGAGGAATAAAGCAGAGAGAATCTTAGAAAGATGTAAGTCCTTAAACTTTCTTTGAAAGGGGTGTTTTGATAAAGCCTGGGCATGTAAAAAAATAAATCAATAGCTGGGTAATCAAGAGAGAAACAGTGAGAATCAGAGAATGAGGTAAACTGTAGGGAGTTGTGAAAAGAAATTCAACAGCAGTTTCTTAGCTGTGCTTTGTCGCTTACACAGCAGTGGGTCTTTTGGTTTCCAAGTAAAAGGAACACAACACTGTGAAAGGGGAAGATAAAGAGCTTGGGAATTTGAGGTGAGGGAGTTAGAAAGGGGATGGCCCATAAGACACAGAGCTTAATTTTTAGTTAAACTATGACTGCCTCTTCTTGCTCTAGCAGGCTAACAGGAAATTGAAGCAGGCATAAGTATAATAAATTCCATAAAATGACCTTAGTACCAGCAAGAATCATAGCCTCTTTGTATTACTGTGTGGGATTTGCATAGCACAAATGTAGTAGTGAGTCATTGGCTATGGCTGGGATTCTAGTCTTTGAGTTCACAATTCACAGCCTGCACTTGGACTTCCATCCACACCTCACTGGTGTCAATGGAAAGATTCCCATCAACTTCAGTCAGCTTGGATTAGGTCTTTGAGCTTTCCTTTTACTCTCTACTTTCAGAGCAGCAGTTTGGCATGTTATAACCCATGTTTGACTATGAGGTTAACCCTGGCCATCCTGTGTCTCACCTCTACCTGAGTGATGAGTGACAGTAAGTAGAGACCTCAGCTCCAAGGGCACTCTTATGTGGATGCTTGCAATGTAATAATAACATGAGCCAGAGCTGACATTTGTCTCTGATTAGAAATGTCTTAAAAATTATTTTATTGAATGCTTCCCTGTAGATTTCATTTTATCAATGAAAGCCCAGTACTGAAACGAACAAGAACCCACCAGCTTACAGAAACAATGTTTACAAAAAAAAGAAAAAAACCCCGAAGTAATATTCCTTTTTTTTAAAAAGCATCCTTACCAATAACAGTTTTGGTTAAAAAAAAAACCAAAACAAACGCTGATTTTGAGTTTTACTTTTTTTTTTAGTGGGGGAAAAAAAAAATCAAATTGAGCATGGTCTCCTGGCCATTTCTCTTTTCCCTAAGGAATTGATTGTTTTCCTCAAAAGTACTTCCCAATGGAAATTAATTCAACCACTTCTAACATTCAGCATAACTATGAAACTGTAACAGAAATCACGAACAGCAAAGCAACCGCGAGTCTAAAGCCTTCGGCTGTCCTCTCTTAGCACAGGTCGCAAATATGGTTTACAAATGTAGACAGAAATCAATCCCCAAAGTAAGCTTCACTTTACAGATAAAGGGAGTTCCTGAGACTCCCAGCATTTCTTCTAGGAGAGCTAAAGGTTAAAGATTGAAATGCTAAAACTGTTTAACATCCTGCCAGGACTGATGCTTGTGCAGTGCGTAGTACTCCTCCAGCAGGTGTAAAGCCAAGTGCTTCTTTGCAGGATCAGGGGCTAAACAAGTCCCTAATTTAGAAGATGACAGAAATGAGAGATGGCAACAGGAAGGAAAGCAAAGAGAGGGAGAACAACAGGCCTATGCTATCCATGTTCTTGTAAACACATACTGACCCTCAGATTTCCTGGCGATGGTCCACTGGCCTGTAGCCTTTGTGGTAGCCTAAAAAACAACAAAACAAAACCCCAGGTTACTCATCATCTCTATGGATGCAGGTAAGGGACTCCAGCTCCCAGACTGACAGCTCCCAGGATTTTGCCATGAACCTCACTGGTGTCTAGTGTTTCTTTTCACACCCAGTCCCGGGGCTCCTGCGATGTGACCGAGGAAGAAGCACAGCCCGCGCCGCCCGCCTGCCCAGGGGCCGGGCCGGGCCGGGCCGGGAGAGGAGAGGACGGCGCTCGTATGGATGCAGGTAAGGGACTCCAGCTCCCAGACTGACAGCTCCCAGGATTTTGCCATGAACCTCACTGGTGTCTAGTGTTTCTTTTCACACCCAGTCCCGGGGCTCCTGCGATGTGACCGAGGAAGAAGCACAGCCCGCGCCGCCCGCCTGCCCAGGGGCCGGGCCGGGCCGGGCCGGGAGAGGAGAGGACGGCGCTCGCGGGGCTTCTTCACACCTCCTTCATGCGGAGCCGGGGGGGGCACGGGGCCAGCTGCCGGCCTGGCTGCGGCTGTGCGGGTGCCGGGGTCCTGCCCCCTAC